GAACAGGAAACGGACTATCCCTGAATTTGTACTAGCGTTTGGTATTTACAGGGATGTCGTCTGTGCGGTTTATCCCAACAGAAGAGAGGAGTTTGATCTCTATATGCACAAGCTGGTAGACCTGGGCAACACATATGGTGGTTCAGCATTCTATGACTACCATAGGTCTTTTTCTGCAAAAGTGGCTGGAGCCTTCTCCCAGTACGGTACACGATCCAACTGGGGAAGGATTGATACCGTCTTATTTTGCAGACACTTTGCAGGTCTAAGAACACCAGCTTGTGCATACTGCTCCTCCACAGCCCATACTACTAATTTTTGTCCCAACACGGCAGACGGACATGCCTCCACACAAGGAACTAGTTCCTCTGGGGATCCAGGGAAACTATCCAAAGACAAATTGGGACGCCCAATCAAGTTTCTGGGCAAGTCCCAGATATGTAATAATTTCAATGTTGGGTCTTGTAATTACAGTGGATGTAGACTATTGCATGTCTGTTCAAAATGTTTTAGGGCACATGCTAAGACCATGTGTCCAAATAAAATGTATTCTAAGCCTTACCTTACGTCCATTAATATGCCAGTATTCACAGCATAGTGTCTCAGCACCCATCTAGACACCTGGTAGATTTTCTTATTTCTGGTTTAACAGAAGGCTTCCACACAGGTATCCTACACATACCAGCTGGAACTCTGGAATGCCCTAACCTACAATCCGCCCAACACAACCCCACAGTGGTTGACACCCTCATAAACCAAGAAGTGGATGAAGGCTTTGTATTGGGGCCTTTTAGAATGTAGCGGATGGCACCAGGCGACCCTACAAATACACTGTATAAACCTGCATTCGTGTATCTGCTGTATTTTCTATGTATTAAAAAGAATTGTATTCCTCTGATTGTTCGGTAGTTTCATTCCCTTAGTTTATTCGAATGAAACTACCGAACAACCAGACCTCCCCTGTGTGAAGTGTGTCCTCAATTACCCGTTGCAACATTATTGCGAACGGGTAATTGAACAGTAAGTAGCCGTCCTTTGTTCTCGGGGGTGGCCGCCATTCGACAAACGAACACGTGGCGGCGGCCATTTTAAAACTCCCGAACAGCGGTGCGTCAGTGTCTGGAACTGCATCCGGACACTTTCGAGTAAGTGCCGCTGAACCTCAACCCTGGTCCGTTCGGTTCCAAACTACCGAACGGCCCCTCGTTCGGTAGATAGAGAATACCGAACGAGGGGATTCAGGCGAACCCTCCCTAACCTCTATAGCTAGAGGCTTTCGTGTATTTTATTCCCTTATGCCAGGACCGACCGCAAGGCCCATTCACATGGAACCGAATTCGGCTATCTCAGTTCGTGCGGTCGGTCATTTTATTCCCTCCATACTTTTCCCGAACCCCTGGTCTGATCTGGGTGATTTTTGGATATGTTGTTCACCCAGATCAGGGCTACCAGGGGATGTATGATTTAAAGGGGTACCCCTACGTTTAGGGGTACATCCAGAAACGGGGGGAATTACTGTACTGGATAAGGGGATTATGATGCTGGCTGAGGGGAGGAGATGTGTGGGAGGTTACCAGGACAGGGTTGGCTACTGTAATAATTACTGTAAATCCCTCCCTTGCATGGGAGCATGCTTTATAAGGAGACTGTGATTAAAGGCTTGTCAGTTATGCTCCTGAAACTGTGTGTCGTCCAGTTATTGGGATTGCTGTTGGGATATTGCTGTATGTTACCTGCTGGAAGCCTTGCCTGTGGATTTACTATATACTTGTTCCTGAGTCCCACTTGGATTATAAGCGGAGATAACCTGGGTAATATTGCATCTCCGCTACATAGAACTCCTCCATTCACAGAATAGCGCACCAACCCTATTGGTATTGTCACAGGGAAATCTTCCCAAAAACAGAGAATCATCATTGACTTATCGGCTCCCCACTCATCGGCCAACCCCAGTCTTAATTCCCTCATACCCTCTGAGGAATTCTCTCTGCAATACACCACCATAGATCACGCCATTACAGCTATCATACAAGCAGGGGTTGGAGCCTGGCTCAGTAAGACCGACATTACTAACGCCTTCAAATTACTCCCTATCCACCCCACACTGTGGCACCTGCATGGCATCAAGTGGTCCGAGAACTACTATTTTTTTTCTCCCGGTTAACTTTTGGGTCCAAAAGTAGCCCAGCTATTTTCGACACATTTGCCGAAGCACTATGCTGGTTACTATTGAACATAGCCGGATGCCCTACATTATTACATTACTTGGACGATTTCCTACTGGTCGAGGAGAATACTGCACCTCCCACTAGCCTCAAAGCTACCACTAAGCTGTTTGAGCAACTAGGTGTACCCATCTCCCCAAAGAAAACAGAAGGGCCAGACACTATTATCACTTTTCTGGGTATCCAATTAGACTCTGCCACAATGCAAGCAAGCCTACCATACGATAAGATAGAGAATATTCTCACTTACATAAACAACTACCTACAGCTCGGCACTTGCAACTGCAAAGAACTACAGTCCCTGCTGGGGTCACTAAATTTTGCATGCGCATCATACCTCAAGGCCGCTCCTTTATTTCACGACTATTGCATCTTTTCCCACTTTTTCTACATGACACGCACAGGTTGTCCTTAGATGCCCAAGCTACGGCAGATCTAAACACGTGGAAGAGGTTTTTAACCACTTGGAATGGTAAAAGTATGTTCCTCCCTCAATTGACTGAATCATCTCCTACCATTTGGTCAGATGCGGCATCTACCACTGGTTTTGCAGCAATTTTTGGGAACGAATGGCTTTGGGGCAGCTGGCCTTCAGCAGTTCTGGATTTGGAAGGTTTTTCCACTACCTCAGCTCTTTTTGAGATCTATCCCATAGTGGCGGCTGCCGTAGCGTGGGGTCATTTATGGGCTAATACGCCAGTGCGTTGTTACTCAGACAACCAGGCAACCTGTCGCATCATCAACAAAGGTCGTTCCAAATCTCTTACGATTATGAGATTTCTGAGGAAACTCACTTGGTTGGCAGCTTGTCATAATTTCTTCCTATGTTGTTTCCATTGCCAGGTGTATATAACACAGCTGCTGACAGTTTGTCTCTCTTTAAATTTCAGGAGTTTCATCAAGCACTCCCGTCAGCAGCACCCACAGCCACCATCACTCCAACATTTCAACAACTCATACTGGACTAGACGTCATCATGCAGCATAGCAGGACATTGTCTCAGTTGGCACTTTCACACAATACAAACAAAACATACAGCAGGGCTTTCACACTATTCAAACGATTCCTTCTGGAACATAACATCATACAACCGTTTGTTATGACATCTTTTTGGGGGTTTGCTTCCTTTTGCCACCTTAAACTCAAAATGTCATACAACACCATTAAACTCTATCTCACTGGCATTCAACACCACATGCTCATCTTACACCCAAATAACAGTTTCATGGCCTCTCACCAAATTAAGACCATACTCAGAGGTATTCAAAAATCAGAACCCACACATTTGGCCCAGAGGCTACCCATAGATAACCATATCTTCATAGCATTATCTTACCTACTCGACCTAAAACCGTTTGACACTAATACGAATTCTATCATCAAAACAGCAATATACATCTCTTTCTATGGATTTCTACGACCCAGAGAATTCACTACGACCTCCACGACCCAAACCACTCCATTCCTCCTCTATTCCCACTTGACAAAACATATGGATCATTACATCCTGTCTTTACCTCACTCCAAAACCAACCAGCACATACCTGTAAACATTCCGTACTATCCCACGCACAACAGATGGTGTCCCGTCAAGGTTCTTGATGCCTACATACAGCACCATCACTTACTGCCCTCGCATCCGTTATTACAACTACAAGGTGCAGTACTCACCACTACAACCTTCATGACCTACGTCAGGTCCTTGCTCACACAACTGGGCCTCAACGCAAACAATTACTCAGGACACTCCTTTAGGTATAGAGGTAGCATCCACAGCCTCCAGGTTAACTGTCCCAACTCATGTTATCAAAACACTGGGGCTGGAGTCATCCGCTTCAGGTACCTAGGCATTTGGCACCGGGGATCCTGGCAGCACCCCCCCCCACCTCACAAAAAATGTAAACTTTGCAAAACCGCTGTCGGCCCCTCCTACAAAACCCTTGTCCTGCCCCGCCCCTCCTACAAAACCTCTGTCCTGCCCCTTCTACAAATCCTGTACTGCCCCGTCTACAAAACCCCCGCAACCCCCTTCCACAAATCCCCTGCTTATCCCCCTTATAAAGACTCCTGTCCCAATACAAAACCCCCACCCCCTTCTACAAAATCCCTGCAGCCCCACACACATTTACAGGCAGACAGTCACACACTCAGTTACAGGCAGACAGTCACACACAGTCACAGGCAGACAGTCACACATACACATTTCCACTCCGTCGCGGCCGCCTGCTATCATGGGACGCAATAGCGGCCACAGCTCATACAGCCCCCTCCAGCCAGGGCCGGTGCAAGGATTTTTGCCGCCCTAGGCAAAAGTAAAGTTTGCCGCCCCACCGCCCATGATTTGCCATGTTAACTAACGCCAGTGCTGCAGTGCCGCCGTGTTTACATTAAAAGGCCTGCAGGGACAGGCCTATAGACACCAGAACCACTACATTAAGCTGAAGTGGTTCTGGGGACTATAGTGTTTCTTTAATGTGAGGTAAATTAGAGCTTAGTGCCACGAATAATATACTAGATTGCCTACTTACAACCAGATGAGGATGATGATGGGCTCTAGCTGCAGTCTGGCTCCACTGGTCTGGTGTAGAACAGGCTCTCTGGAGGCGGTTTGTAACTGTGGTCACAAAAATCAATGTTCTGGGAGAACGGGAAGCAGCTCCATTTTTGGGGGTCCTTTACACAGCTCAAGGTCTGGGTCCCAGGGTCCACCTTCATGTTCCACCAATGAGTTTGTTCACAGGGGGTGGAGTGTGTAAGGGATGTCCTGATATGTGTGTAAGGAATGCATTGTGTGAAATTGTGTTTGTATGTGTAAGGACTGCAAGGTGTGTTTCTGTGTATGTATGGGATGCATTGAATGTGTGTAAGGGGTGCATTGAGTGTGTGTAATGAATGCATTGTGTGTTTCTGTGTGTGTAAGGGATGCATTGTGTGTAACGGTTGCATTGCTTGTGTATGTGTGTCTGTGTGTGTAATGCATTGTGTGTTTTTCTGTGTGCAAGCGGTGCATTGTGTGTATGTGATGAATGTCAATCTCTCCTCCAGCTTCAATTTCCTTCTCCTCCTCCCAATTTCTCTTTCCCACCCCCTCCTAATTTCTCTTTCCCCCCTAATTTCTCTTTCCCCCTTCCTAATTTCAATTTCTCTCCCCCCTCCTAATTTCTCTCTCACCCCCCTCACCCCCCTTCTCACCCCCTTCTCTCTCTCACCCCATCACCTCCCTCATTTTTCTCACCCCCCTCATTTTCTCACCCCCTCATTTCTCTTTCTCACCCCTCATTTCTCCTCTCACCCCTCATTTCTCTCACCCCTCATTTCTCTTTCTCACCCCCCATTTCTCTCTCTCTTTCTCACCCCCCTCATTTCTCTTTCTCACCCCATCATTTCTCTCTCACCCCACCCCTTCTCTCTTCTCTCACCCCCCCTTATCTTCTCTTTCATCCCCCCTTCTCTTTCTTATCCCCCCCCCATCTCTTTCTCATCCCCCTCCACCCTACCTTTGCTGTAGCGTGGCCGAGCCCAGTATAGTCGGCAGGTACAGGGAACTTTTGTTTCCTGTACCCGGCCGGACTAACAGGAAGTGCACACACTGTGTGCACTTCCTGTTAGTCCGGCCGGGTACAGGAGACAGCTGCTCCCTGTACCTGCCGACTATACAGGGCTCGGCCACGCCACTACAGAGGGGCTGACAGGAGGGAGCGCTGAGCGCTTCCCTCCTGTCAGCCCCCTATCTCAGGCTGCGCCCGGGCGGTGCGGTCCGCCCTCATGGACGCACCGCCCGGGCAAAGCTGCAGCCGCCCGAGGCTCTCTGCAGAGCGCTCGGGCGGCTGCAGCATGGGGGGGGGCGACGGGGCTGGTCATGGCACCCCCCAATCTGCTGGCACCCGGGGCGGACCGCCCACTCCGCCCCCCCATTAGTACGCCACTGATCCGCTTACTCACGGTACATACCGAACCCAGTACAAGAATTAAGGGATGCTTTCATAAACATGTCTGGTTGATAAATGCATATGTATTGGTTGTCTGTTAATAAATTTGATTACTTAATTTTTGCCCTCTTCTTTCTCAGGCCTACCTCATCGTCGGTTTCGGCACACCACAACCGACTTGCTCCTTTTATCATCCTATGCTTATTCATGGTATTTCACACTGTACTATCTTAAGCACCTAACACAAATATATATATATGTGTGTGTGTGTACATACATACATATGTAAAAAACATAACATTCATATATATCTCTTTTTTATTGGACTAATTTTTTTAATGACAAGCTTTCGGGAGAACCTCCCTTTCTCAATACGATCTCTCGATCTCTCTCATACACACACACACACACACACACATATACATATATATATATATATATATATATATATATATACACACACATATACATACACACACTCCCTTAATCCCTCTGCAAAGTACAGTCTCAGCCAGGTAGGTAATGTGTCACACCTTAGATATAGCTGCACTGTCTGTTCAGCTCACATCTACCCCATGGATTGATGAATCCATGTCATTTCTGCCCCCCCTTCCATCCATGTCTCTGTTCCCTTCCCTTTCATGTCTTTTCTTCCCCCTTTTTCCATGTTGTGGATGTAGTGTGTATTGTATGCAGTGTGTGTATTGAATACATTGTGTGTGTTTAGTGGATGCAGTGACTGTGTTTGTGTAGTGCATGCATTGTGTGTAGTGAATGCAGTGTCTGTGTAGTGCATGTAGTGTTGGATAAGTGCTGGGGGGTGAGCCGTTTAAATTAAATTGAGCTTATTCCCACCTCCCTGCCTCTTACAGTGTGTAGGAAAGAGACAGTATGGGGGGCAGTGTGTAGGAAGGTGACAGCATGGGGGGCAGACTGTGGGGATGACAGTGTGGATGGGCAGACTGACAGACAACATGTCCTCACTGATACACACTCACTGACATACAGTCATTGTCTCACTGATGTGAGACACTCAAAGACAGACACATACAAATTCACTTACAGACACACATACACACACTTACACATTCACTGACAGACAGACACACACACACACACACACACACATTAACTAACAGACACACACACCCATTAGCTAACAGACACACACACACTCACAAATTACCATGTATTGTTTTAATTTGTCCACCCAGCCTCCTTACCTTTGGGAGAGCTGCAGTGGATCTGTCCCTGGGGTCCACTGGGGCAGCTGTGAGGCAGGCAACTGTGAGCACATCAGAGCAGCGAAGGAGCTGTAATCCTCCTGCTCTGCTCCCTCGTGGACCGTCTACTGATGCCGGGAGCCGGAATATGTCCTATTCCGGTTCTCAACACCAGGTAATGGCACGCGAGGGAGGAGAGCAGGAGGATTACAGCTCCTTTGCTGCTTATGATGTGCACACAGCCGCCCACCTTGGGGGTCATAAAACTGCTTCCTCCATGACAGGAGGAAGCACCGGGGACATCCATTCGGTCATTTTGGGATAGATACAGCCAGGGCCTTTAGGAGCCCTGTGCGAAAAATCCCACACACAGGCTTACAGTCACACACACAGGCAGACAGTGATGCACACATAGTTACAGTGACACACAGGCAGTCAGTCACACACAGAGGCAGATAGTCAAACGCACACACACACGCACACAGTTACAGTCACACACAGGCAGGTAGAGGTAGATAGTCAAATACACAGTTACCTTCCCTCCATTATGGACTGGAGGGGAGGCATGGACTCCTTCCTGCTTCCCCCCTCCTGTGCAGCAGTTATCCCCGACCAGTACATCTTCTGGGCATTTTAGCTCCACCCCGCCGTCATGTAGCCCCGCCCCGCCAAAACGTGTTTGTTTTTTTAATTTATTTTTTAAAATTATTACAGGTAGCCAGACCTGTGTGAGCTGTGCTCGCACACCCCTTGATACATTTGGGGTGGCACAAAGTCAACCCTACCCTTACCTTTTGTGTCACTATACCCCACTCCCTCTTGCCTGCAAGCTCATTGAGCAGGGCCCTCAAGCCTTCTGTTCCTGTGCGTCGAACTTGTCTGGTTACAAATACATGTCTGTTAGTTCACCCATTGTACAGTGCTACAGAACTTGTTGGCGCTTTATAAATAATAATAATAATAATAATAATGTAGGGGGGTCCCCTCTGTCCCACCCCCAGTGTCACCCCTGACTAAGACCGGCAACATCTCAAGTAGCCTGTACTATTTTTTTTTTACCTACAAAAGGGTAAAAAAGCTTTTTTTGGGGACTATAGGTTTCCTTTGAACCCTTAAGGACCAAACCTCTGGAATAAAAGGGAATCATGACATGTCACACACGTCATGTGTCCTTAAGGGGTTAAAGAGATACCATAGAGATAGTCTTTGAACTGTTTCACTCTAACACATGGCGGCGGACATCTTTAGCCTCGAACGCGTACCGATTTAACAACATAACAGCCAGACCACCCAGGGGAGTCGTGTGCTGCTTGTTGACTCTTTTGACCCCTATCAACACCTTAACTGCAACATTCTAAGCGGTCAGCTGGGTGGTCGTCATTCGTATGTGCGAACACGTGGCGGCGCCCATCTTTAGCCGCGAACGTGTACTGCGTTAACTACCAAACAGCCAGACCACCAAGGGGAGTCGTATGCTGCTTGTTGACTCTTTTGTCCCCTATAAACACCTTAACCGCACCATTCTAAGCGGTCGGTTGGGTGATCGTCGTTCATATGCGAACACGTGGCGGCTCCCATTAGACGCGAATGCGCACAGCGGTGTTTGGTCATCGAGTGTATGGAACTATAATCAGGCACTCAATGGCACGCACACTGCTGGGACTTCCACCTCCAGTTACGTTTGGGAAAATGGATTAGAATGAACAGCATTCGATGGGAGCAAGCTTCCAAACACGGGGACAAGCGTACGCACGAACAGTTTATTCACTGGTTTTACTGTATTTTGTACTCCCGAAAGAGACCGCACGCACAGCCTGATTTCATGGAACTCTTTTGGGCAGGAGCCTTGTGTGCGGTTGGTCAAATTATGACTTCCACGGAAATCCCTAACCCCTGAACCGATTTGGGTGATATTTGGATATGTTGGTCCCCAGGTCGGGGCTATCAGGGGATATGACTTTTATGGGGTTTCAATATGTTTTGGGGGTACTTTTGGGTTATTGTAAAATGTATGTTTTCTGTGCCTGGAGATAATTACATTTAGTACAGTTCCTGACTCAATTATCTCACAGGCACAGTGGAGGGATTGCCCTGTTTTGTATGGAAGTGTCCTGGACCTGAGAGCCAATGTAAGTAAAGTGTGTACTTTGTCATAGTCCCCTCTCAGGTCTAGTGGGGAATGCCCCTGGAATATGTTAGTGTAAACCCCTTGCATGGGGACCTGCATATAAGGCCAATTCCTCTTCACCCTCAACACAGAGCCTCGTCTCATGTGTGGAGGGGACAGCTATATTCACTCTTGTAAGAGCTATCCTGCTATACTCTCTGGAGTAGGAGAGGTCTACCCACTGGAAGCTGGATCGTGGTCTTGGGTCCTGGGTGGGTGGAGGACAGCGAGACCCCAACCAAGTTGTAATGCTGGCTGTGGGGTTTACGGTGGTTATGGTGTCTGGTGGAGTGCTTAGGAGTACTCGGTGTTGCTAGGAAGCAGCGATTGGCAGAGGCACCCAGTCGGGGTGCCAGGCGGTCCACCGCAATACCTTTAGTACCTTCTACATACGGTGCTGCCTTGAAGCAACAGGGGTGTGGTCTAGACAGCCTTAGGTTCCATATCGGAAAATGCCTGTGGTATCCTTTATATATCTCAACCCCCATGTATTTCACTTTTATTTATTTTTTTTATTTTTTTTGACAATCTTTATTTTCAAGTTTTATCATTTTTTCAAGGAAAGATGTAGTAACGGTATAACGTCAATTTTAACATCAGTTTTCTGAATAGCTTAACAACATTCGTCACCATTGTTTTAGCATTCTCAAAACAGTTTTCTCAGACAATAATTCTATAGTTTCCATCACATGCTTTAGGTAGAATTATTTAAGGTCAGGTTTCTAGTCTCGTATCCCCACTAGCCTACAATGCGCAGTTTGTTGCACCTATGGTGTGCGCTCTACGTGTAGGGTGTGAATCGGTGTCTAGTCTGGGTGCTGTGGGGGGTAAGTTTTCTGACACGCTACATTTCTCATTTCATGTTTCATACCAACAGTGTCAGGAACCTTTTTGTCGCTTGACATGTATATATATATTGTTGGGCATGGTATAGGGCCACGCTAGCGAGAAAAGATATCTTTAGTGCCTTAACTCCTCCCCAGACTACTCAGCACTTATTAACATTCAAGGCCATCTTGTCGCCTAGGTGAGAGCAAAGTGTGATAGTTTAGGTTAAGTTCCCCACTATTGTGGGTTGGAAGTTGCTGGTGTATATATTTGTATGCCTATCGGTATAGTTTGTCATAAGGGAGGATACTCTAGGTATCAGTCTAGGAGGCCAGGAGGGGATATTTTCATGCCGGTATCAGCTCTAGGTTGGGTCTCGGTTTCCTGTGTATTTTACACCTGTGATTACAGTGGGTGTGCGTATTGATAAGCCCCATTTACGAGCTCGTCAGAGTCGGTCGTTGGGGTTCAGTCCAATGTCCAGTCTCGGGAAAGGGTCAGGAGGTAGGGGACCTAGGAGGGAGGAGTAGCCGGGTGGCTTAGCTCTGTATGAGTCGGTTAACTGCGGGCCTCTGGGGGGCCGTGTTTGGGTTTGCTAATCTGTTGGCTAGGTATGTTTCCCAAGGGTACCAGGTCAGTGCACATTGCTCCTGTCTACCGTGGAGGTCTGCAGTTAAGGATTCCATTGAGTGGATCTCTTCCACCCTTGTCACCCATTGCTGGAGGGTAGGCGCTCCCCTCTGTTTCCACATCACAGGGATAAGGGCCTTTGCCGCGTTGAGTAGTGGCAGCAAGAGGGATTTCTTATATGTCATAACGGGTGTGGGGGTGTGGTGTAATAGCATCGTTAGGGGTTCTAGGGTTAGCTCCGCACCTGTGATTCTGTTTATCTCTACCCTGATCCTCTCCCAGAATGTGGTAATCTCGGGGCACTGCCACCAGATGTGGAAGTACGTGCCGGTATGCAAGCCGCATCTCCAGCAGGTGTCCGGGGCACCTACGTTCATGCGATTGAGTACGTCTGGGGTTCTGTACCAGCGTGTTAAAATGTTGTAGTTCAGCTCCTGGTACTTGGAGCTGATAGAGCATTTATGTGTGAGAGTGTAAATCTTGTCCCAGTCTTGCACCGTAAGGACTTCCCCCGAGTCTCTCTCCCATTGATCTTTAAATTTGAGCACCACATCTTCGTTAGTTTGGGTCTTGAGTATGGTATGTATAGTGGAGATACCTCTGTGTACGTGTGTTCGGTGTATGCACAGGTGTTCAAAGCTGGTGAGGGGTCTAGTCAGGTGTCCTCGACCATGTAAGGATATGAAGTACGTCTTAACTTGGTGGTATCTGAATTGTTCGAGTATCGTCGGTGGTCTATCTGGGCAGAGGTTTCTGAGTGGTTTAAGTCCCTGAGTGTCGAGCCATTGGTGCAGGTACATCCAGTCTGCCTGCTGGAGGCCGGCTAGGTCTTGTGGGGTTAGAGCATCGGCCAGGTCTGGGTTATGTGTGATGGGTGTCAAGGGGCTAGGAGAACTTGTGAGTTGCAGTCGGTAGCGTATAGCTATCCACACTCGGAGCGTGGCGTCAATTAGTGGGTTCTCGGTGTGCAGGTCGGCGTATGTGGCAGTATGTAGCCAAAGCCTAGAGGGTATTTTTCTATCAGTTTGTTCTAGCTCAATGGTCACCCATTGTTTTAATGGGTGTTGTGCGTGCCAGTCCGTCAGTCTGTGCAGGTGAGCGGCGCGGTAATATGTCTCTATGGAGGGCAGTCCCATGCCCCCCATCAATTTTGGTAGTTCCAGGGTTGATTTTTTTATTCGGGTTGGGCGAGAGTTCCAAACGAATCTGCGGATGGCAGTCGTCATAGAGCTAAAAAAGGCTCTGGGGAGAGTAATTGGCACTGTTTGGAATAGGTAGAGTATCCTGGGTAACACGTTCATTTTAATCGTATTGATACGTCCGAACCAGGAGATGTAATATGGGGTCCATTTCTTAAGGTCCGTCTGAAGTGAGAGTAGGAGAGGGTGATAGTTATGGTGGTATAATTGGGACGGGTCCTTGGTCAGCCATATGCCCAAATATTTTAATTTAGTTTCGCACCATTTAAACTTGTATTGGGTGTGAAGGTGTGTTGGGGGGCCTGTAGGGGGTGGGAGGTGGAGAGCCTCGGACTTATGCGTATTAAGTTTAAGATTAGAGAGTGCCCCAAACTCTCGGAAAGATGCTAGAAGGTTGGGCAGTGAGATCAACGGCTGTGTAAGAAAGAACAGCATATCGTCTGCATATGCGGCTACCCGGTATTCGTGACGACCAAGGTCGAATCCAGAGATTCCCCCATTCCGTCTGACCGCCCCCAGAAATGGTTCCAGGGAGAGGGCAAACAGGAGGGGGGAGAGCGGGCATCCCTGGCGGGTGCCATTCCTGATTGGGAAAGGGGCTGAAAGTGCCCCGTTAATGCGGATCCTCGCAGTGGGGCACGTGTACAGTGAGAGCACCCAGGCCAGCATGTTGGGGCCGAATCCCATGTGTGTAAGGGTACTCCTCAGATACGCCCAGCTCACCCTGTCAAAAGCCTTTTCGGCATCGGTGGAAAGTAGTAGAAGTTCTCTAAGGCGCGCTCGTGCTATGTGTAGGATGTTCAGGGCCTTAATCGTGTTGTCTCTCCCTTCCCTACCCGGGATAAACCCCACTTGATCAGAATGTACCAAGTGGGGGAGGTGTTTTGCAACTCTCAGGGCAATGGCTTTTGGGAATAGTTTCAGGTCTGCGTTTAGTAGCGATATGGGGCGGTAGCTCGCGCAATTCGTCGGGTCCTTGCCCTCTTTTGGTATTACAGTAACTATGGCTGCTAACGTGTCTGGGGGGAAGCGCCCCCCCTCCAGTATGGAGTTGAGGCCCAGTAAGAGATTTGGTAATAAGATGTCCCTGAACGTACGTAAGTACATCAGGGGCAGTCCGTCAGGTCCAGGGGCCTTATGGGATTTGGAGATTTTTAGGGCTGCCGCCAGCTCCTCCATGGTGAGGGGTTGGTCTAGGTCGTCCCGCATTTCCGCGGTCAGCTTGTTATCTATATTTTGTTCCAGGAATTCAGTAATTTGGCCGGTCTGTCGTGCGCGGGCAGCGTCAGTGTTGGGTTGGGGGATATTGTATAGGTCCGTGTAGTAGTCTACGAACGCACGCTGAATTCCGTCCGGCATTCGGGTTTCAGCTTTGTCACTGGGCTTAATTTTGTGTATGTGGCTCGCCATCCGACGATCACTGAGCTGGCGGGCTAGCAGTCTGCCACTTTTGTCCGAGTGCTCAAAAAAGAACCGGCCGATTTTCTAAGGGTGCGTAGGAGACCCTGAGCTAATATGTCCCTTCTCTGTCTCCGGAGCGCTGTTAGATGGAGGAATGTGTCCTCGTCCTGACTTAGTTTATGAGCTTGCTCTAGGTTGGCTATTTGAGTGTTTAATGTTATCAGCTGTCGTGTATGTTCTTTCTTCCGTTGTGTACAGACCTTAATATAGTGTCCCCGTACTACACACTTATGTGCTTCCCACACCGTCAAGGGCGAGACATTGGGGGTTGTGTTAGTGTCGAAGTATTGTGTTAGAGTTTGCCTAACCGGGTCAGTGTCACCCAGGTTAAGCAGCATATTCTCATTTAGCTTCCAGTGCCTTTCCGCTGGTTTGTGTAGTGGGGATTGGATCTGGACTGAGACCGGGGCATGATCGGACTCCGCCATCAGGCCTATGCTAGCCTTGCGGAGTAGTGTCAGGGCTTCCTGTGCCATAAAGATATAGTCAATCCGACTGTATCTCTGATGTACAGCTGAGAAATAGGAATAGTCCCTGCCATCGGGATGCGCCGCCCTCCAGCAATCCACTAGTCCACTCCTTGTCAGAGCTCTCCCGACTGCGCGTATGCAATGACCTGGTATTGAGCTTTCTCCCCTTGAGGTGTCTAATCTGGCGTCTAACGGAGTGTTAAGATCTCCTGCCATAATTAGTAAGCCCTCTCTGAACTTGTTGAGCAAGGTGAGTGTTTTATTTAGGAAGACATGTTGGTTACGGTTCGGTGTATAGAGGCATGCGAATGTGTAGGGCTGTTGTGCTATGGTTCCTTTAATGAATAAGTATCTACCGCCTGGATCTATTCGTTGCTCTGTGCATACGAACGGGACAGTATGTGAAAAGAGGATCGCCACCCCCGCTTTTTTTTGGTCGGCATGGTTGGAGTAATAACCTGTGGGGAACCTTCTGTTTTTCAGGGTGGGGGCCTCCACGCCTTTAAGATGCGTTTCCTGCAAAAACGCCACCGAGATGCGTTCCGCCCAGAGAGTACTGAGTAGCTGAGACCGCTTCTCGGGTACGTTTAGACCTCTAACGTTGTTCGACCACAGGTTAAGCGGTGCCGGCACATAGTTAGTGCCCATCCCTAGCTGTGCGTGGGAAGGGGTATGGGTATGTCGGAGTATCACGGGATAAGGTTCGGGGGGGGGAAGTAGGGTAGTCCAGTCAAAGTCAGGGCAGGTTAGTGGGTCGGGATCTAGGTGGCTACGACTCGCCTCGGGGTCAGTCGCTTCCCAGTGTCTATTCCCTTCGGGGTATGTCACCAGAGTAGCCCCCGAGGGTTTGTACAGTGTGAGTCTGTCACGTGAGGTACGTGGGTCGTCCGTTCTTGGGTGAACCGTCGTCTGAATCGCACTGCTCTCACGGCACCCAGCCAACTGTATTTGTTTAATTGGAATTTTCCCTGCGGGTATGGTGAAGTAGTACGAGGGTACCCCCTCCCATTATCCATTTTCCTATCTGTTCTTGAGGGTCTGAGTAATGCGTGTCTAGTCGGTAATCGGGCCCTGTAGCTACCTAACGGGTCCGGCCTCCCCGGGTGTCCCCGCCCTGGCCTAGCCCCCCCGGCTTCGTGGGCTCAGGTGTGTTACCAGCCCCCTTGTGTAGGTGTGTGCCCCCCTAGGAGTGGTATAGAGCATGTGAACTTAATCAATAACAATAACAAGTACAACTGTGAATACCAAACCACCGCCTCTGGCGTTCCCCGCTCCCCCCTCCCAAGGAACCATACCTCCCTCCTCTGCTCCCTATTCCAGCTGGGGGAAGTGGTGTCCTCTCCTGCCTGTTAGCTCGCTAGTCCCTTCGGGGGATGGGCGGAGCTTGAGTCTCGGGGCCCTCTGGGACATCATGGGACTGTCCAGACTTTATCCTGGGGTGCCATTCAAGTAGTTGGAGTCCGCCAATGCCTCCCCTCTACCCCAACCACCCAAAAGGGGGGATTCTATGGGCAAGAGCCCGAGTCTGTAGAAATCTGGGGGGGATCCCCTCCATGTCATCATCGTCCCCGGGTGGTACCCGATCCCCATAAATCCCACCACCCCAAGAAATATGTGGCCCTCCATTGTCTCAAGTCCCAGCAACTCTGACTTGTGCGTAACTGCTACGGGCCCAGGGTAGGGGTGTAAGTACATACCCAGCAGTGTGTCAGCTTCTGCTTACGGAGGTTGTTTCTTCGCATCAACCTTGGGGGAGCGGTCCGGTGGTCTGTCTCACTGCGGCGTGGTTTCTGGGGTTGAATGGGAGTGTGAAAACTGGGGTATACCTCCGTCGGTGGGTGCGCCGGTCGCTGCCCCCTAGGGCTCTTGAATCTGCTATTCTTCATGGCTATCCGGGCCGCCTCTGCGGAACCCAGTTCCTGTAAGGCCCGTACCCGGCCTGATATTTGGAGCGTTTGGGCGTTGCGGCTGTCTCTCCAGGACCCAGTTTGGGACTGCCACTGCTGGGAGGTTCGCGGCTCGGAGGAAGCGTGGCACGTCAGCTGGCCATCGTATGATATGCCATATGTTGCTCACCTTTGCCTGTAAGCTCAAGGGGAATCCCCATTTGTATTGCATCCGCCGTTCTCTAAGCAGGGTGGTTAGCGGTCTCAGTGCCCTTCTCGCTTCCAGGGTGAGTACTGAGAGATCTTGATATAGGGAAATCTGGGCGTCCATGTAGGTGAGGTTCTGTTGATTTCTAGCTTCCCTCATGATTTCGTCCTTTAACGAGTAGGAGAGCAGGTAGCAGATTACGTCTCTAGGCGGTCCCTCAGCGGACACGGGGCGCAGGGCTCTGTGTGCACGTTCTATTCCAAAGTCTGCTGGGGCTCTGTCCCCTAATATGTGTGTGAACAGGCCCAGCAGGAGCTCTGGTAGTGCTTCCCCTGCTGTTTCAGGGAGTCCCCCGACGCGGATGTTGTTCCTCCGTCCGCGGTTGTCCAAATCTTCCAGATTCCTTCTTAACTCCAGCAGGACATTGCCTTGTCTAGTAGTGGCTGTGTCTGTGGCTTGGCGGTGTTGTATTATTTGGGCACGTTCTGCCTCTAGTTCCTCCACCCTGCGTTCCAGTGCTGTCAGGTCTCTCCTCACCTCCATGACCTCCTCTCTGATTACTGCCCTAATTTCAGCCAGCAGGTCCGTCTTATCTGCCTTGGACATCATGTTTGCAGATATTGTGGCCAGGTCTGCTGCAATTTGGGTCAGTGACTCCTCTCTGGCTGGGCCTGTTGCTGGGCTGTCTGAGCTGCTGGCGTCTGGTGAGGGCGGCGCCATTTTGGCCGCGGCCTGGTGCGCCCGCATGTCTCGCGGCGTTCCGAGGTACCCGTCCATGGGACCCGCTGTGCGGCTCGGTGAGCCCGTTTGTGAGGGGCCAGGGGTGAGTAGTCTCTTTGTCTTACCCATCTCGGGTCAATTCGTGCTCGTTTATCGGTGCGGTAGTGAGCTGGGGCCTAGGAGCTGCAGGGA